GGAGGAGGAAGATTCCAGGACAGCTGCTTCCAGAAAGGGACTTGTCAGGCTGCCCTGGTGGGGGAAGGAGGCAAGGAAAGGCTACAGCAGGTGACCAAATTCCACCGTCATTATTGGTTGTCATTGGTCTACAATTTATTGAGTGGCTATTATGTGCCTGGGATTATGCTAAATGACTTATATGCCTTAAAACATTTACTCAGCTTGCTCAGATCAGGTGTGGGTTTCCTGTAAGGATTACATGAGATAATGTATGTCAAGGGCTCACTTAGCCCAGGGCCTGGCACTTGGTAAGTATCCAGTAAATGCCAACTATAATTAATACTATGATCATGAATAGTCCCTACAAAGCAGGTGTGGTTCTTTTTGTGGATGAGGACACAGGCTCAGGAAGGGTATAAGGTTTGCCCAAGGTGACCGGCCTGGGAGGGATCTTGAAAAGTCCTGCTGAGTATCTCAGTGAGCTGGCCCCCAGCCCATCTGTCCCTTTCCCCTCAGGAGTGTCCAAGGTCCTCCCCAAAAAGCCCTGTCCCTGCCCTTTGGTCAAATCTATCCATCGTCTAAGACCCAACTCAAACTCACCTTCTCTAAGAAATTTCCTGTGACCGCTCTAGCCCACCCTCCAGAGGCCCACAGAGCCATGTGGTCACACACACACACAGAGTATATACTGTGTGTACAGCAGGAGCTGGGAGACCCGGACCTCAGGCCTGGTTCTGTCACTAGCTCGCTGTGCAACCCCAGGAAAGTCACCTCTCCTTTCTGGACCTATTTTCTCATCAGTGTGACCTGGTGACCCGTAAAGCCCTGGGGCATCCTCCTGCCCATCCACCACCCACCAGAGACCCAAAAAATGAGACAGTGAGTCACAGAACTCCTAGAGGGAAAGAGAGCTCAGCGGAGGGAAAACGGGTACCACAAAGGCCTGCAGACTGTCAACCAGAAACAACCTACCATGGGGACAGCAAACCCAGCACAGAGTCTGATAAAGATTGCCTGGATGCCAGCAAGGGACAGGAAGCGAACGGGCCTGGAGTGAGAGATGCCAGCTGCCCTACAAACATGGCTTGGAGGGCTAATGTTTCCTGGTGGTTGGCTGTGGGTGAAGGGTGGGCCCAATATAGTGGAGATGAAGGCCAGGGCAGTCCTAGCCTTAGCCTTAGTAGATCAGGTCCGCAGACTTGTGAAATGTGGTGTCCGCAAGTCCCAGCACTGCAGGAGCTGCTAGGCCAAGTGTGGGGGAGCAGAGTGCCAGCCAGCGGGTGGACAGGAATTGGCTATTTCAAACTAGGAGCTCACATAGCAGGCCCCTGAGGCGGCAAACAGCAATCTCACCCTTGATCCTCCATCAAACCCTCCTGAGCACCTACTGTGTGCAAGACCTTGAGCTGGGTGCTGATGACACAGTGGGAACCAGGGCTGCCTCCTAGGCACCCACAGCCCAGTGGGCAGGAACAGATGGATCCAAGCATTCGTTAGGTCCAGTGCTGTTCTTAGCACTTTCCGAGTGACTGAGTCCTCACAGAAGCCTTGTCCCAAGTTCATAGCTGTGGAACCTGAGGCACGCAGCAGTGAGGTCCCTTGCCCAGATGACACAGCTTGTACTCAGTGGAGCAGGACAAGGGTGAAAAAAATCTTCAGATGTTATGGGAGCCCA